CCCACAGTACTCGCCAGACTTAGCTCCATGCGACTTCTTTCTCTTCCCCAAGATGAAAATCAAGTTGAAGGGGCAAAGATTTGATACAGTTGAGGAAATTCAAGCGGAAACACAGATGGTACTAAACACCCTAACAAAGAAAGCCTTCCAGGATGCATTTGAAAAGTGGCAGAAACGCTGGGATCGGTGTATGCGCTCCCAAGGGGACTACTTTGAAGGTGATGGTGCAGAATAAGATCTAGGTAAGATGTAATAGTTTTTATTAATACATTTCGGGAACTTTTGGATTGCACCACGTATTAGTGTACTTCACCACATAAGAAATCTAACTGTGGAGAGTATGAAATTCCCACATTCATAAATTCATTTGGATTTCTCCTAGTAGAAATACAATCAGATTTGTCACACCCTGATAGACAGAAGACGGAATTCGAGTGTACATGGTGTATAATCTTCTAGATGGGCTGACTGTAATGTGATATTGATCATTATCTGGTGATTACAAAAGTCTGGGAGAGACTGTTTGTAACCAAACCAGCAACAGACAGGTTTGATGTGGAGATTTAGTTGCAAGAAGCTGAACAGTGTGGCATACAAAGAACCATGTCAGGTTAAAATTTCAGACAGGTTTACTGATTTAGAAAACTTAGATTGTAATGTGGACATCAGTAGAGGTGGCAGAACTGTTAAAGAGAATATAAAAATTTCAGCCAAAGATATTGTAGGTTATAATGAATTTAAGTAGCATAAAACATGGTTTGATGATCTGATCATTACAAAATTTGAAGCTAGTAGACATTTCAGGAACAAAAGGAGGGAATTAATAATATTGTATTTAAGTATCCTGTTGCATTAATATATCATATACTTCATATAGTATATTTCCCTCTCCAATGCAACTTCTTATTAATCACCTTTCTTCCTCACAACATGTTTCGGTCATATATGACCATCATTAGGTGTCTTCTATTTTGCTAAAATTGTTGCACTGTGTGGTATGTAAAAGTTTCATATCACATGTGAACACAGTATTTCTTAATTAAAGTAGACCTTAATTAAAACTAGTTAAAATTAATTAATGTCCCAGTGTTATTCTTGTGGTTGTCATCCATTTTCTTTTTCACACACAGTGGGGGGTGGAGTCCAGTTGGGTGCACTTGGCACGGTGGCCCATGATTGGCCTATTGTACCTGCCCTGGGTGATTATGATGATGGAGAATTTGGTGGAATGAAGATTGGCAGGGGAAACCGAAGTACTCGGAGAAAACCTACCCCAGTGCCACTTTTTCCACCACAAATCCCACTTGACCAGACTTGGGTTTGAACCTGGGCTGCCACGGTGGGAAGCCAGCGACTAACCGCTTGAGCTATGGTGTGGTCTTGTCATCATCCATTCCTCCAAACAGTATATTTGAGGTCTCCTGTTTTTGATTCATTTGTGCACCATTTCCTGTGACATGGGTGTTGTGCATGTTGTTGTGTAGTTCTTAAGGATATTGGCCTAGTGTTATCATTTTCATTGCATATGCCCTTTGACTATAGGTAGGATATTAATATCTACATACACAGACTGATTAACAACACAACTACACAGGCAGGGTGAAGAACCAACAGTCAAAGGGCATGCATAATGAAAATGACAACACTACACCCCATCCTTAAGAACTACACAATAACATGCATAACACCCACGCCACAGGAAATGCTGTTCAAACAAATCCAAAACAGGAGTCCTCAGGCATACCATTTTGGATGAATGGACAACAACCACAAGAATAACATTGGTATATTAATTAATTTTAACTAGTTTTAACTAACTTAAATTGATGTCAGTTTATTTTAATTAAGAAATATTGCATTCACATGCAATATAAAATTTTGACATACCATGCTGTGCAACAGTTTGAGCAAAATTGAAGACACCTTTTGATGGCCATATTTGGCTGAAACGTTGTGAGGAAAAGGGGTGACTAATAATAAATTGCATTGGAGATGGAAATATGTGAAATAAAAGGGAATTATTAAGCTTGAGGCATATTTTACAAACAAGAATATTAGAGATTTGTATGGAAGCATAAATGAATCTGAGAAGGGATACCCTCCCAGAACTTGGTAAAGGGTGAGAATTGTGATATGTTCTCAGATTCCTGTACTGTTCTGAATAAGTGGAAGAATTACTTCTGTGAACTGCTGAATGTACATGGGGTTAATGATGTTAGACTGCAGTGGCATGATGTAAACGAAACAAGTGGCTGCAACATTTGGAAGAAAAAAGCTAAATTAGTAAATTACGCTAGGAGTTCTGATACAACCAGTGGCTTATCAGAGTGAAAAGTGATGAAATCATTAGTTTATCAAGAACTTGACAGAGCTATGTTAGAATTGTTTAATCAGTAAAGAGCATGAGAAACCCATGTTTCCAGAATAATCTGCACTAGACAGGCTCATTCTTTTGAATGCATTAAGAATGGAAGGAGGTTATAGCACTTCCTCTGGCTGGTTAATGTATTTCAAGTGATTAGGCGACATTTGAGAGATGGCCATGAGAGTGATGATGAATCAGGTGAAAATTAATTTTTGAATATCCAAACCAAATGTACAAAGGCAATAAGACTGAGGGTTTAATGGATTATTTGAGGCAATATAATAACACACTTCTTTCCAATTAACAGTAATTAGGTAGAAAGAAACAAAGTCCTTGAAAAAATACATAACAGTGTGTTAAAGTACAACTTTCATTTGCCTCTGTATATAAAATATTTGTGTTAAGCATGTTATATTGAAATTCCAGGACACCGTGGAAACAAAACCGAATTCAGTATTGATTGTGGTTATTTTGCAGTGTTTTAATTATCCATGCCACTTCTCCCTCCCACTATCAGATATAACAGTTTCTCTGTGTGTTCTTTCTCTTATTCTTTGATTGACTCTGGTAGTTACATGATAATCCTACTTATCATATACCCTCCTTTGATTTCTATGCCCAACTTTCAACATTTAAGCTATTTATCAGCCATTCATAATGCTTCTTGCTATATCATTAGTATTAATGTATAACTGGCATAACAAGTACTTCATTACCATGCACATCTCTGTGCCCCTCCTACAATCTTTTCATAACTTTACTATTTGCTGCAAATTTGGGCATCCTTATTTGCTCACAAAATATCCCATGAATTTTGTCAGTTTCTTTCTGCTGTCCATCTCAACCCCATGCCTCCATAGCATGCATTATTCTAGAGTCACCTAACATTTTGTGTATATTTTCCAGAATTTTCACCTTTATATCGAGGGTTCTGACTAAGTACATATCAATAGATATTGAAATCTGGTCTGCCTTTTGCAGATATTCTGTTCATTTGTCTATTTTATTCACCTCTGTTTTCTAGTATTACTCCAGTAATTTTATTTTCCACTTTTATTGTTCGTCCTCACATTGTCCATCTTAATTCTTCAGTCTACCTCCTTTTTTAAATAGTATTTTAGATTTATTTCTCATTACTTTCAGATTCCAGTCTATGCAGTATTTGGTGACTTGGTTTGCTTCTCTCTGTAAACTGTTATTTGTAAAGGATGAAATGGCTAAGTCATCTGCAGTAGTATTCCTGAGATTGTTCTTGTTTGTGTTTATTAATATATGAGTAATTCATAACATCACGAATAAAAATATGAAACAGATAGATGCTCAGATTACAGATGAGTAGAAATCTACATAGCAGGAATGTTTGCCTTGTTTAAATATTTTCTAGCCTTACTAATTGATAATGTTTCTTTTTGACAGGATGGAAGTGCAGCTTCAATAGAAGTAAATCCAAAATACCAGTAATTAAGAGTTCACAGACTGTACTGCAGTTACTTCACGGTTTCTTCATGTACTATCACAATTTTAATTTTTCAAAAGATGTAATCTGTCCTTTAATCGGACTTCCCATATGTAAACAGTTTTTTTCCAACAGTCCGCAAGATCTTCCACTTGCAATGGAAACTTATGTGCATCGAGTAACAAAAGACAAACATGCAGAAAGATTTCGCACAAAATGCTCTATGTGTGTCCAGGATCCATTTGACCTTAGTCATAACCTTACTAAAGGTACTTCTGCGGCCATGTTACAGAAATTTAAGATTCTTTGTGGACTCTCAGGGGATACTTGTGCTAAACTTGACAGTTGAACAGAAACTCTGTTTCATATTTATTTAACACCAGAGGGTGAGTTTTTGATTTCTTTAGAGTATTGCTTATTAGTGTTACAATGTATGATGTTCATGTCTTTGGTTGTAAAATGGTATACACTCCTTATTTATATATACAGGTAAACCTCTTTGTATGAGGTTAATTTGTGCAACGAGTGAACCTTGTAAGATTTGACATTTTCATTGTGGTGACTAAGAAGAATGCCATCTTCTGGGATGTGCTGCTGTGTAGATATTGTGTAAACCGATGTTTCGGAGGAATGTATCACCTCCATCTTCAGGGTAGAAAAATCTGCTAGTGAGGAACCAGCATGAGCAGGTAGCTGCAGACTGAATCACCAGTTAAAAACATCCAGCTATATAAGAATAGGAAGGGAAGGAGAGTGAGCCACATGGGAGGTCAATAGAGAGGAGAGGTGAAGGGTTGGTGAATATGGGCCAGCAGGTAGAAGGCAAGAGGCGGTATAGGACTGTGTACTACTGTACAATGTGACATTCAACTTCAGCCCACACCAAGATATAATTTTCTCCTCTTGCTGTCTCATTCAGCTTCATTCACCGAGCTTTGAAAATGCAATTCTGATCCTCCTTACATTTTTACATTAAAATTACATTATTTTATTTACTTCAATAAATTAATAATTAACCCTTTTGGTGCATATTATTTCTTCACTGTTATCCTAAAATAATGTATACATAGTTTTAATGAAAGAATGTAAAAAGAGGATCAGAATTGCATTTTCAAAGCTCAGTGAATGAAATTGAATGACGTAGTAAGAGGAGAAAATTATATCTTGGTGTGGGCTGAAGTTGACTGTCACGCTGTACGGTTGTACACGGTCCTATACCGGCTCTTGCCTGCTACCTGCTGGCCCATTTCCACAGACCCTTTCTCTCTCCTCTCTATTGATTTCCCATGTGGCTCACTCTCCCTCCCTACCTATTCTTATATAGCTGGGTGTTTTCGACTGGTGACTCAGTCTGCAGCCACCTACTCTTGCTGGTTCCTCACTCGCGGATTTTTCTACCCTGAAAATGGAGGCGATATGTTCCTCTGAAACGTTGGTTTACACAGTATCTACAGAACACCACATCTCAGAAGACGGCATTCTTTGAGTGCACCTTGTATCTCAAAACCGCATATGTTGAAGTTGAAAACCAATGGGGAAAATTGTAGTTCATCCGTGATGTCTTGGAGCATTCATCAGAAGACTTAATTGTGGGCTTTAAATTACGTTTTAACTGTGTATATAGAATTGTAATGAATCATGAAAAGAAAGTAAGGTAAAAACCTTTATTAAGGAAATGAGCCAAAAAATTAATGTGCTTATTCCTAGAAAAGTATTTGTCAAGCATCATTTGAACAGATGTAACCCTCTTTTTCTCTTCATACAATTTATGACAGCTAATTACGTTTTCTAGGGTTCAGCAAACTACCATGCTTCCTCCCACATTTAGACCTACATCTGTAATTTGTTGTTTAATGGTTTCCAGATTTGAAAACATTTGCTCGAGTTCCTATATCAGAATTTCCTTTGAGACACACCCCTCCCCTTCATACGAAATTTCTTCTTTCTCATTGCAGGTATGCTGTTGCTCCAGTTCTACAAGGTCCATGTCAGTAGTGGCTGTGAATGTGAATTCAGACATTCTCTGGCATTGGACAAATAAACATCTTCAAAGCCAAGATCCTTTCCAATGGCACTAATTTCCTCAATAACAGTGTCAACTCAATTTTTGCAGTAAGGCAGAAGATATTACCATACATCCCTCATTGTATTAGCTGTAACTTCATGTCATGACTCATAAATAATTTTATTATGCATTCCAGTTCGAGCTTTAAACTTTTGAAACCACCCTCATACTGCCAAAAATGTCATAGTAACCCCTTTTAATTAACGTTCCTTTGAGTGATGAAAACTGGCTAAGTGCTTTTATCATTATGTTGTTTGTACCAATTGGAGTCTGATTTTGGCTTGCAGTCTTCCAGCCAAATTATTAAAAGACATTCCATTTCAACCAAAACAAAACTTCTGTTTGTAGTGCACTGCATACTAGAAGATGCTGATGGAACTTTACTTTGTTCTGTATATTCATTAGATTTGGACAGAATTAGTCATACCGTAGACTCATTGAGGCCTAATGCCCTGCTGATGCTTTCCTTGCTTTGACCATTATCAAACCGTTCAATAATGTCAAGTTTCATATCCAGAGTAATAACTTCGCATTTATTATCAGATTCCACTGACATACCACTTTTCCTTTTGTGCATGGTGAACTTTTACAAAATATAAACTATTGCTTAGCATGAAATACACTGCTTTAAAACATTACCTTGGATGGTGGCTTAAGTGAAACTGAACTTGTGGCAGCATAATTGCACAGCAGACACATAATCTGGCAACACTATATGTGGGCAGCTTCTGTATATGTTCTTCAAAATTTTTTGTTTCATAATCGGCCACACTATTGAAATTTTAAGAGGGCACATATAGAGGAATGGTATAAATGTATGTGACCATGTTAACCGAAACTTGCACTGATTGAAAACGCATATATTGAGGTTTACCTAAAGATGTGTGGTTTCAGAGAGTTTCTGTTAAAACTCTTATAACCTACATTTCCACTATTAATAAATTGTTTGTATTTTCAGCAGTGATTGTGAGAGTTTCTAAAAGTTGCTGAAAGTTCTCAGTATGTAACTTTTTTAACTTCAGTGATAAAAGAGATTGCTGTCAGGTGTTTGTAGATGTTAAGTTCTAAGTGTTTAGTAATGAAAGTGTAAAGTGCCATATATAATGAACTAGTTTTCTAACAAGTCTCTCCCATTAGTATTAATATTATACAGATCAAAGTTTATGTATTGTAGAAATTGATGATTGTGTGTTAAATGGTGTATCTACATTGAAGTAAAGATGATACTTTCCAGTTTATGTTTGTCAGTTCTTGTATCTCTGTTAATTTTATCTTTTTTTCACACACGTAATTGTTCAAGTATTAGCAGTATAACGAATAGCATGAGGTAAAGGTAAAAAAGGTAAAGTTGTCCCTGTACTTAACTAATTAAGCACTGTGCCATGAAGACGTATGGGGGAACGGATGTAAGATCCATATTCTCTTGACCTCGGCACTAGTGGGAGGTGAGTGGTCAGCTTCATGCACCAGCCACTTTACCCTGGTACCTATTGTATAGGATGCTGAGTGAGCCCCAGAGCCAGTTTGGACGATGTGGAGAAGAGAAAATTCTTGATCCTACAGGAACTCAAACTCCGATCCCTCCGTCGTCCTGCCCATAGCCAGTTGCTATACTGACTGTGCTAAAAGAATATCATGATGTGTATTTAATTGAAGAACACAGTCTCTTATGTTTTACTGCACATTCTGATGTGTATTCCCCCAACAGATGTGTTACAATGTTAAGGAAAGTCCAGAAGTTAAGAAATATCTGACTACCAAAAGAATGTATTATCACCTTAACCTTTGTATTCCACCAGCCAGTTAGATCAGCTCAGGGTACTTGCATTAAAGCTGTCACAGCCAAAGAGATTGGTTCAGTATTAACCACTTAATATAGCATTTCTATCAATAGATGACATCAGGTGTGATATACTGACAATTGGGGAAGAAGACTGAAAAGACTCTGTGTGCTGTTTGAAAATAATAATTAATTTTTGTTTTCTCCTTTTTACTGATTTTTTATTTTAGTACATAAAAGTGATAAGTAATTAAAGTATGGGTTTCGGGCAAAAGTACTACATTTGGGAGTCCACGTACTTTGGAGAGTGGACTCTTTGAAACAAGGACAAGTGGCCAGAAATGGAGGTAAATACAATGGAGGAAGGAGAAATCAATGACGATGTTGGGGAAGAAATGGTGATGGAAGACAATGATTACACAAGTTAACAACAGCACACCTGTGACCCACAGTGGATGCAGCATTCAACCTCAGAACTTTTGACAATTTGAGCACCTAGGGTTTTAGCTGCTACAGTTCATCTAATTTGCATCCCTCACTATTTTACATTTCCATCAACTAATACCTATCCTCATGGTAAAGGTAAAGCTATCCCTGTAACAAGCCATGAAAGCCCATAGGGTTGTGAGACACCGAGGTTCCCATATTGGGCCACCTCTGTGGTCTGGTGGTCAGAGTTCCTGGCTACAGATCCAGAGGTCCAGGGTTCGATTCCAGGCACTACCAGATTTTCTGAGAAGTAGTGGGTCTGGAACGGGATCCACTCAGTTTCCTGAGCGTAACTGAGGAGCTGTTTGATTGGAAAAGTAGCGGCTCTGGTCTAGAAAACCAAGATTAATGGGCATGGGGATCCATTGCACTGACCATGCAACACCCTCTGTCCACAAAAGTTTGCACTAAATTCGCCTACAAGTGGCGGTCACTTGGTCAGTATAGTTCGCTTGTGGACTAAAAAGCCATGGAGAGGCTCCCACATTTTCTCTAGACAATTGGCTCACAGATGCCAGTGAGGTTGTCAGCCTTATGCACCAGCTGTCCTTTACCCCCCAGGAAGATTCCTGGTACTCATTTCTGTTAGACCCCCTGGGCCATAGCATGGCTGGAAGGATTAGATCACTTGAAAAAAATACACCTCAAGGGGACTCAAACCCGCAACCTTCCAGCTTGTAGCATAGTGCCTCAATCAACTACACTACCATGTGCCCCCTAACCTCACAAGTTTATATATCCTAATCCTGTTCAATACCTATCTCTCTCACCTGATTTTTAACTAATCCAGGCAACATATTTTAGCAGGAATTTACATGTACACATGGCCAGTGTTCATATTCCTAGCAAGCACAATGACTGCACCAAATGCCTGATGGCCTCTGTGGTTGAAACATTTAGCAAAAAAAAAATATATATATATAATATATGTTGTAGTTGTGTAGGGAGAACTTCCATAATATCCCACTCGATTCTCATATTTTAGTGCTCTTATAATTTTCCAATGTTTGCATAATTTTGATTATGAAAAACATATTTTGCTGACACTGGAAAGTTTAGAGAAAGATGCCAGTAACAACAGGCAACTTACAACATGTATCATAAATACATTATACAAATGTGAAAGATTACATTTTATTGTCGTAACAAACTTACTCTTCACATATAATAAAAACCTGATAGGTCTCTACATGTAGGTTAGTGTACATATTGTGACTTTTTCAGTACAGCAGAAATTCACAAGTTCACAAAGTAAAGTAAA